GGGGGGTCATGCCAAAGCGTATGTCACCATGTTAAATTCCTATGTACGATGGGCGTGTAGGGGGGAGGGGGGGTCAATTTTTGACCAAAATTTTGCGTACGTACTTTGTGCACGCCGCCTTACCGATGAGAGTCCGACCACCAGATGTACTGCCGATACTATGCGACACCTCCCGTGGTTTCAAATGTATTGAACGAGAGTTTCAATTACAAGTTATTAGACAAATAAAAAGCTTTTCAAACATTTATTACTTATTAGCAGGGTAATCAGTTATTACTAATATTAGCCCACAGTTGGCGAGTTTGTAAATTATATGCGATTTGATATGAAATATAAATTTTTGAGTAAAAATTAATTTGATTTAAAATTAGAGAAATTGTGGGCGCAGTCGGGGGTCATAATCCCCTTCCCGGTGAGGAACTGGAGTATTTGCGAACCAAAGGCTTCGTATCGCATATAGGAAGCGGTGGTAATGGAGATGTGTGGGGGTGTAGGGCCCAGGAGTTTGGCAACATTACGGTGGTCTGTAGGGTGACATAACCGGTGGGGTTAACAACTTTTTCCGATAACAATTAAATGCTTCAAAACGGATAATCCAATCCTAATCCTTTCCACTGTTTTATAGCCCATACATATTGTATTCATGATTTGTATACATATTTTTTAATGTTCAGAAATCTACCATGGTAACTGCGCCATTTAAGTTTGCAAAAAGGGGTTTTTGCATTGAAAAGAAATAATAAAAAACTGGTGTTTGTAAACTCAATTTAGTCCTAAACTAACCATGATCAAATTAATCCATTTAAAGAGAGTTTGTAGAATTTGGTTTTAATTAATATTCTTACTCTACTATATTTTAGCATTGATTTAAAAATAGATTTGAAATAACATTTGATAATTTTAAAAATACTTGTCCTCAAAGAGGGCCGACCCCTGGTTTTTGGATCTTATGACCAGTTGTGCGAATCGGGCGTTGATTTCATATCACTTATCAGTGAAGAAAAGTCAGTGAATGAGCAAAAAGAGACAATACGTGAAGATATCCTCAAAATTGACAGAAAGAGGACTATTAGTACCCTATNTCATATCACTTATCAGTGAAGAAAAGTCAGTGAATGAGCAAAAAGAGACAATACGTGAAGATATCCTCAAAATTGACAGAAAGAGGACTATTAGTACCCTATCGTTGACCAAAACTGAAGTATTTTTAATAATAGTTAAAAAATTTTAAAATTTGATTAATTTTAGTTATTTTAATTATTTAACTTTTAGTCCGATTCCGACTTAAATGATCCCAAAATAGATGATGAGAGCAAAGCTACCGGTTCTGTAGCCGGACGGGTGTATTGGGATTACATGATGGCAGGTGCCGGCCCTTTCCTACTGAACACTACCACACTGTCGACACTTGTATCTCAGGCACTGTTTCATTACAACGATATATGGCTGACGGACTGGTAGTCAACTAATTGTTATGTGAATTATTAATCGAAAATATTTGAAATAACTTTCCATTTCAGGACTAATGCTGAGGACAGTAGGGATAAGGATGAGGATTATTGATAGAGATGTATTGAAACAATAAATAAATCATCATAATGTTATTGCTTTTATTTTATATGAAAATACTAGTATTGATATATTAAAATAATTACTACATATCTTACAACCTTAATAACAACACAATTCAAGCCCTAATTCGACGGCCCATCAAACGCACGCTTAGCGGCCGCCATAAGCTCCCCGGCCATGGGTTGACCCGTCTCTCTCACCAACTTATAGAACATTCCGTTCGGATTCTGCAGCAATCTATAGGGTGTATCAAACTCCCTGACCCTCCCGGCGTCCATAACCAGCACGCGATCGGAATCGATAATAGTGTTGAGTCTGTGGGCGATCGTAACGACCGTACAGTCGGCGAAGTTGTGGCGAATCGTCCGTTGAATCAATGCATCGGTTTTGTGGTCCACATTAGCGGTCGCCTCGTCTAACACTAGGATCCGGTTCCTCCTGAGTATAGCCCGGGACAGGCATATCAACTGCCGCTGACCTACGCTCAGATTACCGCCCCCTTCGCTCAACTCGTAGGCCAGTTGACCGGGCATTTCCATGACCGCCTCCCGGAGCTGCACCTCGTCCAACGCCGCCCACACCTCCTGATCCGAGTGCTCCGAAAAGGGGTCCAAATTCTTGCGGAGCGAACCGATGAAAGCTA